ACACCTACCCACGGAGGAGACGGTCGGTGTGAGGACCGCCGCGCGCGCGTCCGGGCCGGGAGGCGCTCCCCTCCCCCCTCCACCCTGGGGCTCCGCCCGCCCGCCCTCACCAGGCGCCAGGCGAGGAGACCAGACTGAGAAACAGCCGTGTGAGGCCCGGGAACTCAGCTGTTCCTCAGCTGGGTGCTCGGAGCTCAGGGAGTTGGGGGAAGGGCCCCTCGGCTCCTGAGGTCGTCCTCGGGGAACGGGTTGGGGGGCCCAGTGTGGGCTGCTGGAGCAAGTGCAGAGCCCGTGACAGCTGGCTGGGGCCCTGGGCTTGGTTTTCACGTCTGAACCGGCAAGAAGGGTGCACTGACCCCGGCTTGCGGGGGTGCGATGAGGAAGCACGGGGACGCCCCGGTGCCCCGCCTCCGCCCGCCCTGCAGCCAGGTCTGCGGCCGCTGTGACGCTGCACCTGGCTGTGTGTTCCCCGTGGCACTGATGGCACCCCTTCTGCCCCAGGGTGGTCCCGGGGGCGGGGGGCATCATCCTAGACACCAGCACCTGCGTCTGCACCCATCGCTGCTTTTTTAAATCAGTGGAGCTGGCCGGTGTTGACGCTCATGACCTCCAAGGTGAAGTCCTGGTCCAGAGCTGTGCCCTGGGGTCTGGGGCACAGCTGGCGCTGCAGCTCCGTCCCCTGCTGGCTGGCCTCTGAGCCATTTGGCACAGCTGACACCCCTCCCTCCGCCCAGTGCCCAGCCTCTAAGGAGCCTGGAAACCTGACAAAGAAATTGGCACGTGAACGCTCACTCTTGGTCCTGCCCTGTGCGGAGAGGGGCGAGCTTGGCTTCTGAAAGGACCTGCGTGAGGTCTGCCTCTCTGAGCACCCGGCCTGGAGGGAGCCCTTCCTGACTTCCCTGTGGGGGGGCGGTTACCCCAACAGGGGGCGCCCCAAAGGGCGGTGAGTGCTCTGTCAGCACAGCCTCCTGGCCTGGGAGCCTTGCCGCTTCAGGGTGACCTGGAGACGCTGGGGCATGGGCAGAGCGATGGACAGACGGATGGACAGACAGCTGTTAGGAAAGTGCCAGGCAGCATCTCGGCTTCCGTGTCGGTCAGGACCCCTCCAGGCCAGCCCGGAACATCCCCTGGCGCCCTCTGTCCTGTCTCCTGTCCTCCGCTTCTCTGGCCACCAAGGCTCAGGAGGCTCTTGGCAGAAGGAAACGGCCCCTCAGCTGGGAGTTCGGACACCGTCCCCCACCCCAAGCCCGCTGCCTCCCTGGGCTGCCCCGTAAGGGCCTGGACCCCCTCTGCCTGCCTCCTGTCCCTGCCAGGACGGGAGGGCCTCTCCCAGCACAGGGCCCGGCCTCCCAGGGAAGAGGGAAGGCCGTTCCACCAAGAGAGCAGAACTGTCCTCCCATGGCCGCCTCCCATCCCGCCCGCAGAGCAAGGGACGAGCCCTGCCCGGCGTGGGCCCCCGCCTGCTCTGCCCCTCGGCTTTCTGCCCAGCTGGCTTTATACAGACTCGGGAAGCTGGGAGCCCCCCTAGACTGACCCTGACAGGAACATTAAAGACGGAAGTTTCGTTAAAATAGGCTAACCCACCGTGTAGAAAAGGGTGTCATTTTATCAAATATTAACAGTCTGCAGTAATTTGAGGGGCATGCCATCCGTGTCTGTGCTGGAAGGGTCGCCAGAGAGAGGCGACGGGCCAGCAGCCTTGGCGTGGGTATAGGCTGGAGGCTGGTGGCCAGAAGTCTCCTCGCCTCCTGGGAGGGACCAGTCTTCTCCAATTCCAGCGAAACTGGTTTTAATTCAGGGCAGAAACAGAAGGCGGCTGCAGTGGGGTCTGCGTGAGCAGTCAGGTGTGCAAGGGACAGGCTGGCCCTCAAGTCCAGCAGAGGGACCAGCCTTGCGCAGAGATGTAGTCTGGAGCCTTGACCCAAAGAACCAGACAGGCTTAGATACAGTCACTCAGAACCAGAGACAACGAAAAATACTTTTTGGCAGTCGGTCAGTGGAGCCCCCAGCAAAGTGAGGCGGTGGGTAGGGGTGAGGCTCGGCTCGGCTCCGGGAGCCCCTCCCTGTGGGCCACCCCACAGCCCACGGGCTGCGGTGGCCAGAGGGCTGGACTTCCCTCTCCCGGCGCAGCCCAGAGGTCCTGCCTCCCAGGGCAGCTTGAGACAAGAAGGACGCAGAGGTGGAGCGTGGCTTCCCGGGTCCTGGGCCCAGAGGCCCGCTCTCCGCTGCTCTCCGGGGCAGACCCAGCTGGGGCCCGGCCGAGCCCCTCCCCCGGCCCCCTCAGTGGGCCTCGCCCTCCGTGAACTCCTCTTTGATGGACTGTTTTCGGGACTTGCAGTCCGGGAGGTCAAAGCCGAAGTCGGCCCACTCGTCCGGCCCCGAGGCCCCCGCCGGGCCGCCACGGTTGGGGATGGTGATGGTGTGGCGGACGCGGAAGTGCACGGCCTCCATGACCCGCTGCCGCTGCAGCTCACCCGAGCTGCCGAAGGAGATGGTGGCGGCGTTGCTGCTGGAGCGGATGAGCTGCTGGGCGCCATAGTCGTGGCCCTGCTTCAGGTCCTGGAGGCCCCGCCAAATGGTCATCCGGTACTGCTCTGGGACTTTCAGGGCCCCGAGGTCCTGCAGGAGCAGGGCGGCGCCCCGTCACAGGGTGTTTGTGGCAGGCTGCCCTCGTCCCCTCCCACCAGGGATGTCAACTGTGGGACCCAGAGGGAGGTGAGGAACCCCACCCTGAGGGCCATCGGGTCTGGCCACATGGAATTCGGCCCCAGCATGGTGGCAGGAGAGCTAAGAAGTGATGTGTGTGTGCTCGGGGTTGGGGGGAGAGCTGAGGTCACTCCTGGGCCCCTGGGTCTGGGGCCCTGCCCACAGCAGAGTGACAGAAGGAGACACTGCACACTGGGCCCTGGAGGACCGCCTGCCCCCAGCCTCAGGGCGGGGCCCCTCCCAAAGTCAAAGCAGATGCTCGGGCTCCAACCTCCCTCCTCCTCCCCATCCCCTGCCCCTCCCCTCCCCTCCCCCCCTCGCCAAGCTCGCATCAGCAGTGAGGCAGCGTTCACATGCACTGAGCCAGCCCTGCGGGGAAGCCGGGAGAGGTCGGGGAGGGCGTTAGTGGACACACGACAAGGCCATCCTCTGAGCGACTGGCCCCAGCTCCCTCTGGCCAGCCCACGTTTCTGGCCCATGGCCGTGGCTGGGGATGAGCCTCTGAGCAGATGCCAGGCCCCCCGAGCTGGAGCCCCAGGATCCGACAGCTGTGTCTCCTGGGCTCTGGCTCCATCACTGCCCTCAAGGCACCGCCTGGCTACGAGTGCTCGTTGCCGGGACTCTTGTTCAACCCAGAGACAAGCCTCGACTGTGCGGTGAAGGCGCCCGGGGCGGGGCGCTCCTAGCTCTGCACACCCCTGGCGGGATGTTCAGCTGCCGTGGGTGCAAGGCAAGCAGTTCGGGGGTCCGTTCGTCCCCTTGTAAGTGGCGTTGAACTTGACCGGCTCTGTGGCCCTTCTGACCTTTGACTTCTGCAATTCTTTGTGCCTTGGAGACAGCCCGTCCCCCTACACCAAAGACAGCCTGACCACATCACAGAAGACTCACGTCCAATGAGGGGCCTGGGGGGGGTCCCTTCCAGCCCGAGGCCCTGCAGCTGAACTGGCTGGACTGGACACTGCTTGTGGGCAGAAGGGTTTGCCAGATTCCCCAGGCTTCCCGCACACGGGCGAGGACAGGCCCGGAGGGGCTGCCCCAGAAAGGGGAGAGCGTTCCCTGCCCCGCAGACAGGGCCCTGCGCCGGGTCTGGGTGGCCCCTGAGCCTTCCTGCCCGGGCAGGGCCGGGGCGGTTACCTCCATGGTTAGGCTCTGCAGGTGGTAAACGCTCTGCAGCCCCTGGGAGGTGAAGCACTCGATGCAGTTTGGACACCCCAGTCCTGTTAGGAAACTGCAGAGGGTTTGGGAAACAAAGCAGCATTAGCCTCTAAGGACCCGGCTACGCGGCCTGTGCTGGTAGAAACTGGCCGCCCCACAGGTCGCCCCGCCCACTGCTGGCCACCGCTTCGGGGACGCGCTCGCTGCGGGCACAGCGTCCAAGGAACCCCTGGCTTATTGTGTCCCCTCAGCACGTCGGTTGGATACTCACTCCTGACCTTCCTCTGCCTCTGTTCTTCCTCGAGCCGCTAAGCAGGGCACGCGCAGGGTGGCATGCAGGGACCGTCCCCGGGCGGGGCCAGGTAACCTGGCCGCCAGGGCTGAGGTTAGTGGGTTAGTGGCGGGGCCCAGCAGCCACCCACGTACCTGACCAGGCTGGGGTCGGCGTGGTAGGCGGGTGGCGGGGTGCAGTGGGACCCCGAGACCACGGGCTGGGAGCTGGGGCCCCCGTTCATCTCGCCGTCGGCCTGCAGGGTGTGGCCGTGGTTGTTGAGGATCCCAGGGCCTGGGCAAGAGGCAGGCGGGCCTGTCAGAGTGAGCCAGGCCCAGCCACCCCAAGACCAGGAGTGGACAGAGGGGACCATCCACGACCCTGCGTCTTGCTCATAGGCCCGAGTTGCTGGAGGGAGGCAGCCGCCCAGAGCCCCTGGTGGTCCGAGCCCACCCTTTGGGCGTCCCCACCCACCCCAGCCAGGCTGCCCGAGCTACTCACCCATGGGCCCCAGGTTGGGCCCGGCCGCCGAGCCGTGGGGGGGAGGCTGGCCCACCAGCTGGTTGACGGAGGGCAGCTTGTTGACTGCCCCATGCACTTTGTTCATGGGCGAGAGGACAGGCCCATAGGACGGAGGCTGCAGGTGGCTTCTGCTCGGAAGGGACAGCTCGGGTTGGTAAGGCGCTCAGGACACTGTCACCTCCACTTAACACCTCCGTGCTGCTGGGGCCTGGAGACCTCGACCCGCGTGAGGTGTCAGAGCGCCTGCCTCCTCACCCAGACTCCCTGTCTGATGTCTCATGGTGGCCTGCTGGCAGGCAGGACCCGGCAAGGGTCGGAGGGGGTGGGTGTGGCTTACATCCCTGGAATCGGCCCTAGTCTTGGTGGGTCAGCGTTGCTCCAGCCACCCCTCCGCGCATCCACTGAGCAGAGACCCCGCCGTGGGGGAGACAGTGATGGCTGAGATGGCCGCAGTCAGGGAAGGCTTGGGGACACCAAGGCAACCGCTGCCTGGTGCTGTGACTGTTTGCCACACCAAGTCCCCCGGTAGCCCCACCTCCCCCAGGCGGCCAGGCAGGACAGGGCGGGGCCCCGGGGGCCAGAGGGGCTGCACTCACTGCCTCTGTAGGAGCTGCTGCTGCCGGTAGGAGTCCACCAGCTGCTGCGGCACCAGCTCCATCAGCTCCAGGCTCTCCTTGATCTTCATCAGGATCTCAAAGTTCTCCCGGCCCCGCACCTGAGCGCAGAGAGGTGGACCCTCTGCCCTGGTGCGTGTGGACGCCTCCCGGCCCAGGCCCCCCGGGCAGTGAAGCGCCTCTCCTTTCTTGGGGGTCCCCTGCCTCTACCCTCCTCTTCCCGGAAGCAGGTCTGATGGGCGGGTCTCCTCTGTCCACGCAAATCATGCCCATCCCTTCCCACCCCTGAGCCTCCACCACACTGTCCCCGTCCCCCTTTCCAGAGCTCAGTGCACGGTGGGTGCCAGCAGGGGACCCGCGACAAATACAGGACTTTTAGAACAAGGAATTCATTCTTGAAGAACTCAGAAAATGACCCTCTCACGTCAGAGACCAGTCCCAGCAAAGCAGGGGCTTCACCCTCCAGCTGGAGAAGCCTTGTCACACAGCAGCCTGCGAGCGCGGTTTCCGTGACGCGGCTGGGGCCAGCCAGGCTGTGCGGGTGTGGGGCTCCTCATGCGCCGCCCGGCGTGGGGGGCCTGCATCACCCCCATGGTGTTGCTGTGTCTGCAGCAAGACTTCCTGTGCTGGGGCCTGACTCAGACAGAGCCCCCGCGCGGTGGCCCTGCTCTCCCTCTGCTCTGGCCCTTCTGGTCAGGCCCCCTGGGAGCTGGCTCTCCCTTCCAGGCCCTGCGGCCTGCAGAGCTGGGGGCCCCAGTCACTCACGTGCATGTAGTACACGTCCTCGTCCCCGTGCCGCCTCTTCTTCACGCTGGTGCCCAGGGCAGGGATGGCAGGGGGGCTCTGCTTGAAGGCTGGAAGGGGACGGGGAGGCCTCGTGAGCCGGCGACGGAGGAGCCACGCCGACCACGCCGCCTGGTGTGAGCCAACATTCGCGAGGGACACCTTGTGGACGGGCCCAGGGACCAGTCACCCACTCAGATGGGCCACCCACCCTGGACAGAGCTGGACAGGGGCATGAGGGCGGGGCTGGCTCTGTTACCCGAGCCCCGGGGCAGGTCCAACTGCGTCCCGAGGGCTGCCTGGCTCTGGCGTCCGGGCCTGCCCTCCACACCCGTGCCCCGGCCCGGAGCCCCGCTCACTGCGCTTGCTGGCCGCCCCGCTCTTGGCGGCGCTCTCGTTCAGGGCCTGCTGCTCGCGGTAGTGGTCTTCGTCTGCTTTGCGGTCTCGGCCAGGACAGGCGCAGATGCGGCCCTCGAAGGACCGGCGGCCCAGCACCTGCCCACTGTCCAGGGACACAGCCAGAACCGTGAGGTTTGGAGGCCTCCTTCCTCAGCCACCTTGGACCCCACAGAACTGGCCTCGATGGGCTGAGGGGTCAGGGCCAAGCACCCAGCTGCTCTGGGACACCAGGTCCCCTGCTACTCTCCCCACCCCCCAGGCGGCTCCTGAGCCTGCAGCCCCTGAGGCCCCTCCCAGCTCATGGCCTGCAGGGCCAGCACCACTCCTTGGTCATGCCTCCCTGTCTCCACCCAAGACCTCCAGCAACGCTGGCCCAGGTCCCAGCCCTGCTCCCTCCCCAGCCCCACGTCCCGCAGACTCACTCCCGGGTCTCCAGGGTGATGATGATGAGGATGGGCCGCCGGTTCATGCCCCCCACGCAGCTGCTGTTGCACATGAAGTTGTACAGGATGGTGGTGAATTCTGTCCCCACCTGCACACAGGAGGCGGGGGGAGGCTGTGGGGTCAGCACATGGGTCCCAACCGCAAAAGTGGGGGCTCCTATCCTTTACATTTCTGGGTAGGCAAGGGGGTGCTGGGTCCTGTGGTCCTCAGTCTTCTATCCACCCATCCACCCCCTCACCTATCCATCCTCCCTTCCATCCTCCCCTCCATCCTCCCATCTATCCACCCACCCATCCACCCACCCATCCATCCATCATCCACCCACCCATCCATCCACTCTTCCAACCATCCATCCATCCATCCATCACCTCCATCCACTCAGCAATCCATCCACCCGCATCTATCCACTCATGCAGTACACTGGAGCCATGCGCTGTGCTGGCTCTGGGTACCGAGAGTGCCACACCCAGTTTCTGCTCTCGGGAGGCACAGAGGGTCGCGGTCTGGCAGCCCCAACCACCTCCCCTGACAGCCCGGAGGCTGGTGTGAGCAGGCACGTGCACAGGCCTCCGTGGGCACACGAGTGTGTTTCACATGCCGTGGGCTCTTCTGGGCAGAAAGGCATTGCTCTAGCAGAGGGGGCCCAGAGCCGTCCAAGTGGACCCCCAGCACACACACTTGTTCCAGGGAGTTTGGGGAGAGCTGAGATGTGAACTCAGGACTCTTGACCCCTGGGCATCCGAGGCCCACAAAGTGGGCAGTTGTCACTCAGGGAGCAAAAATCGCAATATTGACTTGGGAAACCTGGCCTTTCACGAAGCTGCTGGCATGTGGCAGCCACCAGGGGGCGGGAGAGACCTGCTTTCCTGGCTGGCTCTGGCAGTGAGAGCCAGGCTCGGGAGGGAAGGCAACCCCTCCCAGGCCCTGGTCCCTCCAATGCCAGGACTGTTTCTAAGCAACCAAGAGGAGGTGCCTGGGAGGACCTGGGAGGGCCTGGGAGGGCCTGGGGGGACCAGGTACCAGGGTAGGGCCTGGTAGGGGCAGTGGGACCAGGTACAGAGATGGAGTGGGGCGTGGGTGCTGAAGGACAGGGTACAGCTCTGGGCGGTCTCAAATCCAGGCAGAGGAAAGGCAGGGGCTGGCTGCCGCATGCCTACCCTGGGAAGCATGGCCCAAGGCCCACAGCTGAGACCCGCTCTCCACCTGAGGTCTTGGCACCCCTACCCCACCATCACCCCGCCCGGCCCTCACGTCAGCTCCAGAGCCTTCTGCTGCCTTTGAGTCAAAGACCCCCAGGTCTTTCCGCCCTGCCCACCTCTTACAGCGCCCAGCCCCATCACCTCATCTCCAAGCCCTGCAGCGACGACGTGCCCCTGACCGCGGGCCTCTCCTCTTCCTCGCGGGCCCCCACTCCACCCAAACTCCAGTCTTCGGCCCCTCTGTCCCCCAGAGCCCCAGGCAGAGACCAGGGCATGGGAAAAGGACGGGCAGGGCTGAGGCTCAGAGGTCGGCAGGCCCAGGCCCCACTCTAGAGCTGAGAATGCAGACGCTCTGAGAGGGCCCAAGGGGGTCCCACCCAGACCGGCAGGGAAGGGATGTGAAGTAGGGGAGAGCTGCACAGCCCAGACTTAACTCATAGACGCTGGCTAAGGGACCCCAGGGGTCTCTGCCCGGAAGCCCCGCCCCCGCCTGGCCCCGCCTACCTGCGGGGGCTCGTAGGGCACCATGACACTCTGCCTGCCGGTGACGGGGTCGTCCACGTACTGCGAGAGGTTGTTGCCCTCCACGCGGATGAGGTGGCTGGCCGGCGCAGACT